TAGCGTTTATTTGCTACAAATAGAACATAATTTTCCACTATGGTTTATTTTATTTTTCATATTTTTTTTTATTTTTATATTTTATACATATTTTTTTTTGTATTTGACGATGTGTTGATGTGCCGACTGAAATATTAGGTTAAATGAGTGAGGGGTCGTGACGACCCCTTAAACCCCCCTTCGCTCCGGCCCTGTACCCTACTGTTCTATGATGACTGCTGCTTATGTTTATACATACACTTCAGCATAAACAATACTTACCATTTCGGCAACTTATTGATTTAATACATTTTACTAAGAATATTGTTGTAAACAAAGAATTGCATATCATCATGTATCATTTTTATTTATTATTTCAATTGAAATACATAATATATTATTATATATGTATGCTGTTGTTCTTAACCCGTCATTGCTCGCGTGTGAGAATTTCTCTCACATAGTTTTTAGGTTAATAACCACTGGCTTGTGGGTTGTTATATTTTTCCCAAATCATAGTACCTTATGACGAAGTATTTAAAAATAGATTTATCAGTTGACTGGCACGATTGCGTTCCGATAACGATACCTATTGCTTTTTGAAATCAACTAGTCGTGTTTTGTGAGCGAATCCCTTGACGCGCGAGTAACAGCGTTTTAATTTCTCGTTTATATTTTCGTTTTTACTTGTTTATTTTTTATTCGATATTTTACTTTTTTTGCCGTTTATTTTATTTATTCAAAAGTATGAGTGAGTTAATTAGTTCGTGGTTAAATGAAGATATGGAATCACTAAATGATTCGTGTAGTAATGATAGTGAAATTGATGACAGTACAATATATGTAGAACGACATAATGAGGAAAACTACGAAAGCGACGAACCTACCGAAAACACTGACGATGAATCAGAACCTGATGATGAAGTTGAGAATGAATACTACTTGGGCAAGGACAAAATTACCAAATGGAAAAAAAATCCACCTCCACGCAATACACGCAATACCCTTACTGCTCATTGCAATATAATTACTCATTTACCGGGAGTGAAACCTCATGCGCGAAATGCAAAAACAATTATAGAATCTTGGTCACTTTTCTTTCCTGACAACGTTATTCAAGAAATTGTTACTTGTACTAACATATATTTGACCAAAATTAGAATAAATTATGGTAGGGAACGAGATGTCTTGGATACGAGTGTAGTAGAAATGCGTGCGTTGTTCGGTCTTTTGTGCATAGCTGGTATGATGAAAAGTAATCATCTAAATTTGTCGGATCTTTGGTCAAATGATGGGTTATCGCCGGAGTATTTTAGAACTGTTATGTCTAAAACGCGTTTTTATTTATTATTACGAGCACTAAGGTTTGATAATATAAATACTCGCAGTGAAAGAAAAAAAAATTGATAAATTAGCACCTATTCGAACCATTTTTGATGAATTTGTTGATCGCTGTAAATTAAATTATACTGTCGGGGAATATTGTACCATTGACAAGATGCTAGAAGGTTTCAGAGGGAAATGTAATTTTTGGCAATATATTCCTAACAAGCCTAACAAGTATGGTATAAAATATTTTCACTCGTAGATGCTCGTTTATTTTACACAACAAATATGGAGGTTTACGTAGGAAAACAACCTAATGGTTCTTATAATCAAGATAAAGTGCATCAAGTATTGTCAAGAGGATGATCTCTCCAATTTCCAAAACAGGTAGGAACTTGACCATTGATAATTGGTTTACATCTGTCCCATTGGCCGTTGACCTGTTACAAAATCATAAAATTACGATGGTTGGGACAATTAGAAAAAATAAAAGAGAAATACCTCCACTTTTTTTGGACACAAAGAAACGAGAAATGAATAGTAATAAATTTGGATATAGTAAAGAATGTTTATTAGTATCATACGTACCAAAAAAAAATAAAAATGTACTGATGTTGTCAACAATGCACAAGCAAGGAGATATTGATGTAGAGAGCGGAGAACAACGTAAGCCTGAAGTAATTACTTTTTATAATTTTACCAAAGGGGGAGTCGACGTCGTTGACGAACTAAAAGCTGAATATTCCGTAGCAAGGATTAGTTGTAGATGGCCTCTTACCATATTTTTTTCTCTTATGAATATAGCTGGTATAAATAACCAAATTATTTATAAAGCCAACACTGATACTACTATAAGTAGACGTCAATTGTTAAAATCTCTTGGGCAAGATCTATGTAAACCATTTATGGTACAACGACTGAATTGTAAAAATTTGTCTTTTGATCTTCGAAAACAAATAAATCGTTTCACCGGTAAAATCTCCACACCATCTCAAGAGGATCCAAGACCTACAGAAAGAGTTAAATGTGCTTACTGTCCTGCAAGGAAAAATCGATATACCGTGGTAAGTAGATACACTACTAAGCTCAAATATATATACAACTCATTATTTTATATTTTATACCTAGGTAAAATGTGCAAGGTGCACACACATTAGCCCTATGCAGTTTGTGCAATGGAAACACCGAAGATTTAGATGATTAGTTTAAGTTTGTAAATGAATTCATGCATACATAATACATTTTAATTATTTTATCATTATGATTTTACAGAAAACAGTTAATAAAATTTCATAGCACATAAGTCAGTATAATTATTTTATTTATTTTTTCAATATATTAATAAAGAATATTCAAAATTGGTTCATTTTATGATTTATCAATTATTTGTTCTTAAAATATTACATTCATGATGAAATATACTAGGTGAGCGAATCGCTCTACGCGCTAGTAACGGTGTTCAAATTATACGTGCGAGTCATGACGGGTTAAAGATAATTTTCGTACATACAACCACATTAACTTTAAATTAATTATCAGATACACAACAATTATATTATTTCATTTTAATAACTATATATGTTACTTAGACTTTGTCATTCATTAGTTATATCTGAACTCATGGTAATATCAATATGTACAATGTTTTAATATTGACATTTTTTTGCTTATATGCTTTCATTCATTGTATGTATGTATGTATTATTATTTTATATTAATAATATATAATAATGTCACACTCATTCCTATAACTTTATTATATATGTGCATACTTCAATTACTCTCATTAATATTATTATAGAACTGTGCTATCATACTCAATTCCAATTTAAGCATGACATATATTGTTACAAAAAAAAAAGTGGCACCCACCAACTAAGCTCATTTATTTTTGAATTATTTCATTGATGATGATTCATTACATTCTTATTTTAATGTTATTATAGTATATATTATATATACAAAATTATATGTATATATTTATTACTAATACACACACACACACACACATATATATAACTAATAAGATCTTAATTTAAACTTCAATAATTTTGTACATACAGATACATTAAACCTGACCTCATATGATGTTTAGGTAGTACAAAATAATCAACCGATTATAGAAATTGCGGCACCAGACGGCGAACAAGAAATGGACGTGGAAATTGTTGAAGTCCAAATTGATGAGGTCATGGTAGAGGTAGACGAAGTACCATTGGTGCAACCTCAATTAGAAATCTTCCCAGATGACATTGAGGTTGTAGATTTGCTGCCTGCTGATGCTGCAGCAGTATATGAATTCATAGATGTATTCGACGTTTTACCACCAGACATCGACAATGAAGTCAGTGTATATTTCACATTAAATAAAAACAGATGACATTGTTTTTTACAACTTTGATGTTTAAACTACAGTTTGTACCAATTCCCCTGGGTGCTTCCAGAGCACATGTGCCTGTAAGAGATCGTTCGGCTGGCATTCAACACCAACTTCCCGAACAGCACAACATAGGACCATTGGATGCCGTCTGCGATCACTGTGGTGGCCGTCATTTCCACTGTGAGAAGATTGGAAGGTCTCATTTTTCAACGTGTTGCAATAATGGTCAAATGGCTATAACGGGTGACCGTGTGTTGGGACAACCTCCAGAGTTATTAATTCGTTTGTTAATAGATGATTCACAGGTAGCCAGGCACTTTAGAAAAGAAATCAGACGATACAACAACACTTTGGCGTTTGCTGCGTTTTTCACTGACCTCAACCCAAGACGTTTGCCAGGTCGGGGACCAAAAGTGTTCACTGTTCATGGGCAAGTGTATCGCAGGATTAGTAACGACATTGTCAGAAATGAAATGTTGCGACCGAGTTACTGTGAGCTGTACTTTATCGAATCTGGGGAAGCCAACCGGATTCGAATGGCACAACAGCCACGCCAACACCCGCTATTGGAAAACTTGATTACAGACTTAGACAATCTGTTACGTCAAATCCATTTACAGTGGCTTTCGAGTAATATATTTAAATATACATAAATGTGTGTATGTTATATTATGCATATATTTAGCAAATACATATTATACACATATTGTCGCCGCACTCGGCTTTAATATATATAAATATTAAGGTGCCTTTACGGCAGGAAGACAGGCCACCCAAAAGTACTGCACTGCCAACCAAAATATAATAATAATAAAAAGATAATAATGCAATAATAATAGCTGGTAATATAATATAATAACTAAAGACCGGTTGTGACAAAGGATTTATTTCTCTGTTGAAAAAACAATATAATTTAACAAATATCTTGTCATTTCATTATATTATTAATCAAGAAAACTTGGCAGCACGCGTCTCTATTCCAGAAGTAGATTTAGTGATGAAAAGCGTGATAAAAATAGTTAATTATATTCGAGCAAACGAACTCAATCATAGAAAATTTAAAAGTCTTTTAGAAGAAATGAACAGTGATTATAGTGACGTTCTTTTACATACTTCGGTGCGTTGGCTAAGTAGAGGAAAAGTTCTTCAAAGGTTTTTTACTTTACGATTAGAAATTATTGCATTTTTACAACAAAATAATAAATTTGATGAAATTGATAAAAACAATAATTGGTGGTGCCTTTTAGCTTATATGTGTGATATCACAGAAAAACTTAATGAGCTCAACCGTGGCTTACAGGGTGAAAATAAAATTATTTCGCAGATGGCAAATAAAGTTTTTGCTTTTGAAGAGAAGTTGGAGTTCTATTACAAGGAAATACAGAACCAAATTCTACATAATTTCCCAACCCTTACAAAAGCTAAACAAGATGACATTATAATTTCTCAAACAAACAATATAATAATTTTAAATCATTTAGCTGCCTTATCCAATGAATTTAAAAGAAGATTTCAGGATTTAAGAGGTGTAAAGAATTGCTTTTTACTTATAGAAAATCCTTGGCACTTAGAAGTAACGAGTATAACACAATTAGCTGCATTGATTGTATCTGATTATTCAAAATTATTTGATGAATTTATTGAATTAAAAAATGATACAAATTTGGAAGTTATTTTCAAAGAAAAGCGAGAACAAAAAGAATACTTCGAATTTTGGAATTTAGTGCCAGGAAAATACAAAACCATACAAAAATGTGCCCACTTTTTGCTAACAATGTTCACATCAACATTTTTATGTGAAACTTCATATTCAAAAATGAAATATGCAAAGAATGTGTACAGAAATCGTCTTACTGATTCACATCTTGACGACTTGTTAAGAGTAGCATGCAGCAACTACAAACCAGATTTATCCAAAATAGTTAAGGAATTATCTCAATATCAAAATTCACACTAATTTAAAATAAATATTTAATTTTTTTACAATAAATTTTCAAATGTTGTACACAATATAAAATGTATTTTTAGTTTTTTTTTTCCGTTCCGTTCATTTAGACTTGCGGCCCGCGTAATATTTTAAAATATTTTATGTGGCCCAAATGAAAAAAAGGTTGAGTATGGCTGATTTAGAGTTACCCAGGGTGCACCACGAGGAGGTGAACTGGCTTACACCCCAAAAAATATTTAGTTATTTAATTATATTTATTATAAAAGTTTATTATTATTATGTTTATTTAATTATTTAGATTTACATCCGAGTGTTATACGTTTGAGTGGACGTTCACAAAGTTCTTCTTGAGCTTTTTGTTTTACAGAGTTCCTTATTACTTGTCTCATCATTTTTCCATCAGATTCTATTTCATGATTATGGTTTAAATTGCTATCAATAATTGTCTTCTAACTCATATCTGTTTTCATGTAAGCTGTACATGTTTTGTTTACACAGCACCATCGTTTTACATCACCATTCAACATTTTATGAAATCTCAATTTATATCCCATAATAATTTTAAGTTCCTTACCGTGTTGGCTGATCATACTCGACGATAACGACATCAAAATCTTTTAAGTATGTATATATATAAGTGTAATTAATATAAAATGTTAGTTAAATATATTTAAACAAAACTGTTAGCTGTATATACATCACTACACAAACTGCACACGGTTATCAAAGAATAGTTATGAATAATAGATTTCTACGTATGGACTATAGTGTAAATACAAGCAGTGTAATATTATAAGATATCAATGCATTTTATCCATAAAGACAAATATTGCTAGCAATAATACGCGGACGCACATGGAATATACCAAAATTATTTGCGATATTATCGCGGACGCAATCGGGCTATTAAAAAGGTACGATATGATTAACGGAACGCACTCGGGCGACGCCCGTTCATATGTATGGAATGACAAATAAGATGTATGGCCTTCTCCAGGATTGCCATATTTTTGAATATGTTCTGAAAGAACTACATCAAATTCAGCAATCAGTTCAATTACCATCAAAAAATTTCCATTATTTGAGCAACGAATCTGAGTTGTTCCATCTATGAAAGACAAACCTCTTGATGATAACGCCTTAACCACCGTAACTATACAATTTAGAATTGTCTTCCAATAATTATTTTAAAATTCCATTTGATGTATCAGTTGCTGATCAATTCTTTCTAGAATTATACTTCTTTGTTTCATTGTTGAAATATTTTAAAACTCAATTATGGTTAGATAGTACACTTAATATGCCTGAGTCTTCAAATGTATTAAATGAAAAAATAAAATTGCTAAATAAAACTATAGAAAAACAAGCAATTGATATGAAAAAAATGAAAATGAAAGTGGAATATAAACAGAAATTAATTATGTATAAAAATACAACAATAACAAAGCTTAGGAAAAATTTAAAAAATGCCCGTATTCTATTTAAAACTAAAAATGTTTTAAATTCTTTAAAATTTCTATCAATTGATTCTCAAACATTAGTAAAAATGCAAATCCGTCATAGTATATGTAAAAAACCATCGACTAATCAAGAAAAACACTTTTCTTTAAGATTCTATTATAAATCTCCATCCGCGTATAAATATTTAAGATCATTACAAATCAATCTACCAGGATTAGCCACAATCAAACGTTGGATTGGAGCTTACAAGAGAGGTAATATTGGAGGAAACCATTATTTAAGGTCGTTACTAGGCTGGGAAGTGATTTTCTAGGTGGAAGGGTCGACTATTATACGTATTACAATTACTAAAGACCGGATTTTGCATAAAATGCATGTTGTTATTTTCAACATCATATACATGCAGTCAATGAGTGTCCACAAATCATTACTTGATTGATTAAATATCAAAATTTTATACTGCATATTTTTGCATATTCTGACGTTAATGCATGATCTGCATATTTTTGCATATTTTAACAAAAACCGTACAACTATACAAATAAAAACATAGATCATAGGTACGTTTATATAATATTATAATATCAAATATTTTACGTCTCAAAGAATATTTAATAATAAGATACTTTTGGTGACATTAATGATTTAATTATAATAATGGAAAAAAGGTTTTCTCAAAGGCTCCGTATAGAATTCAATTATATAAAGAAATGTTGCCAATTACACATTTACCACCGCAGCCAATAATTATCCGTTGGGGTACTTGGCTAGAGTCAGCCTTTTTTTACGCAGATCATTTTGAAGAGTTCAAAAATGTGATTGAAAACTTAGAAGATAATACAAAATGCATTCAAAATTGTAAATCAATTTTTAATAAATTTAATGTAAAATATGATCTTGCTTACATTAAAGCAAATTTTTTATGTATCGTTGAAAGTATCAAAAAGCTTAAAACCTCTAATTTGTCTCTTGTAGACTCGTTAAAAATTTTAGAACAAGTGGAAAATTCTGTTAATGAACTTCCTACTAGTGCAAATAGTACAATAATTAAAACAAAATGTAAAAACGTTTTGAATAAAAATAAAGGATTAATGGTTTTAAAAGAAATTTCGAAAATACTTCAAGGTGACAGTGCTAATTTCGACGATTTATCTGTTCCAAATTATTCGCTGGATATACTAGCAAATTTTAAATATGCTCCAATCACCTGTGTTAATGTCGAACGTAGTTTTTCATCATACAAGTACATTCTTACAGATCGCCGTCATAATTTCACGGAAATAAACATGGAACATACTTTGATAACTTATTGTTTTTCAAATTAATAATTTACTACCTTCAATAAAATTGTTCGTACTTTTTTCCTATTTATATCAGTATATCACCAATGTATCTACTATTTAATTTTAATAAAATATTTTTTACAATATATCAATGTTTAAAAATTAAATTACAATTTAACAAAAAATTAAATTTTTGTACTATATTATAAATTTAACTTTTTGTTTATGAAAAATGTAATAAAATTAATAAATAATTATCACTGCAAAATTAAAATCAAATATAAAATTGAAATTTTATTTTGCATGTTTTGCATTTTTTCCTTGCATATTTTGACTTTTTTTAGTGCATGTTTGCATGCATATTTTACAATTTAAAATGCATATAAATCCGATCTTTAACAATTACTCACTCGGATAAGTACTTGTACTTGGAAAATCGTATAAAATCAGGCTTTGGACTTAGAGCTCTGAGAGTGGTATGAGTGCATTCCTGAGTGCATTTACTATCGGCCTGCCGTGTTTTTGAAAACGGCAAGTCCATATAACAGCCGATTTTATGGTAAACTCTCGATTTTTAAAAATAGTAAACTCTTCCGGGTTAATATTATGTTTATCTGAAGTAAATGTGTAAACTATCCCGGGTCAACTTTATAGCGAGTCGTTCCATTTGCATTTAAATTCATATTTCTCAAGTACTCATCCATTTTTATTTATATTCATTAATGCTCTAACGGATTTTCAAATTGAAATATATGTTAAAATTAAAAGTTGCAATAAATTAAATAAATCGAATAAAAATATTTATACAAAAAATAAAGAAAAAAATATATCCCAAAAAATATTAGATTATAAAGAGAAAAAAATAGATTCCCTAACTTTTTTAAATCTGTATGTTCTTATTATTGTTGCGTGCCAATATCAGATCCAGATCCAAGGTATTATTAACTCTTTGAAGCACGGGTCAAAACTAAATATTCACTACCTAAATGCACAGAAAATTTTGTAAAAACCTTATAGTAATGGGTCAATAAATGATATATGTACCACAATTTTAGTAAAATTTAATTTACTTACAAAGTTATTTAAGTTTTAGTGGTGGTTACATACACTAACCATCATGCATACATAAACAACATATTTTTTTTTTTATAACTCAAACTTCTTTATTAACAAACGTAATATTTTTTTTTTTTTTTTTTTTTATTTTTACAAGAAATATACAATCTATACAATTAAGCACAATAAGTATATGTGAGATTAGGGTAATAAACATTATGGGGTTACGTGAATAAGAAGCCACCCATTGGTAACACTTAGCTTGTTTATTATGTGATACTTAGCTTATTAGGATTAAATTAAATGATCCCTACACCATTTCTTTTTAAGCCTACGACGGGGATTTCCAGGGAGTGACGGGATATGTAAGCTTTTTATTAGAGGATTTTCATGATTTTCTAATTTATTATAAAACCGTTTATAGAAAACAGCAGCTTCTTCTTCTACTGTTTTTATACCTAGGTCTTTGTGGAGAGTCAAGTTAGAGACGAAGGGTGGGGCATTTGTAATTTTACGAAGGGTAATATTTTGGAAGGCCTGAATTTTATTTATATTTGATTTCTTTGCCGATCCCCACAGCTGGATTCCATACGTCCATATGGGTTTTAGAAGAGATTTGTATATTTGAAGTTTTGTTTTTAACGATGAACATTTATTTTTTGAAAGTAATACTTTTAGAGAGCGAGAGCGGGCATTAAGTAGTAATCTTTTTTTTCTAATATGATTTTGCCAGGTCAGTCTTTTGTCGAGGTTTAGTCCTAAGTATTTAACAGTGTCAAGAGAAGGGATTGGTAGATTATTTACAGTTACGCTAGGGCAAAGTCCGTGTCTTAGGGTGAATGTTGTGTGAGTGGATTTGTTGTTATTTAATTTAATTTTCCATTTAGTGTACCATTCAGAGAGTACATTTAAATGGGATTGTAAATTTCTTGAAGCAATTAATGGATCATTATGTACTGATAATATGACTTTATCGTCAGCATAATCAGCAACAATAGTATTTGGTGTAGAAGGTTGATCAGCAGCATAAATATTAAATAAAATAGGAGAAAGCACACCTCCTTGGGGAACTCCAGCACTTATTGTGGCTATATTTGAGGTGGCGGAACCTTGACGTATTTGAAAATGTCGGTCTGTAAGATATGACTTCATTAGTAGAAATAATGCAGGAGGAAGAAATTTGCGAAGCTTAAACAGAAGACCATTATG